GATAGATAGATAGATAGATAGATAGATAGATAGATAGATAGATAGATAGATAGATAAATAGATAAAATTGCTCTGTAATCGCCAATTCTAAGACTGTAGTGGTGATTGCAGGAGTCCGCCGCCATCAGGAGAAGGGTCAACTCAGCTTGGTGCCATGTGTTCATGTTCCTATTTCCACAGAGCACCAAGTACAGCTGTGACTGCACCAGCACTGTGGTTTCTAACCCGGTGGATCTCCATACCTGTGTTACCTGGCAACTAAATGGGCCACCCGTGCACCGCATGCTCAGCTGTGTTGGCAGTCTGGGTTTGTTAGGTTTTGCCGTGTGAGGGCAGAAAGTTAGCATTCATCTCCGCGGCTGTCAGGGGTGGGCTTGGGGAGTACATGCTGACTCCAGCGTGGCTGTGTGGAGTGGGGTGACCATGGCAGGCATTTCCTCTCCAGGGATTGAATCCAAAAGTGGGAACAGATTACGACAGAACTAGAAGGAAGGGGATATAATATGTGGTGGTGGGAAGCACCTTTGAAGCCATTAAGCTAAAAGGAGACATCACTGGACTATTGCATCAAGTGTGGCTGCCCTCACTGAATCCAGTTGAAAAAACGATCTGAGATTCACCCTGTGTCTATGATGGTGAAGGGAATATATAACGCTGAGAACAAAATCTTCCTCAGTCTCCCTGCATCCTTAATGTTCAGAGATTACCCAGCATCATCAACCAGAAGCCGAAGGCTGACAAGGTTGCTCAGCTCAGGAAACGTGCAGAAACCCTGGGGAATGTCCAGAAGGATCTACAAGGCCTGTGACTGCCGAGTTCTAGGTTGTAAATCCCAAACCTACAATGTGATTAACCATGAACCTTTAGTCTTTAACTTGTATATAGGTCACAGTTTGTTTCTTCTCTGACATGTGATATGAGCTCACAGATCAAAGTCCAGGCTTGTTGCATGCTTGCACTATGAGCTTTGGAACAAATAAAGTTAGCTATTGCCAGTGTGGGAAAAGAAAAAAAGAAGAGAAGGGCTTACATAGCAAGAGAGCTTGATTTAAAGTGAAGTACTAGGACTTACCAGAAAGGGATCCATTGTCAAGGTCCGCAGCAAACCACATGGGTGAGGGTACTCGAAGGAGCTCAATTATTGTTTGGAGCTTCCTTTAAAGCCCTGCTAGCGAAGGAGAATTTTCATTACTAATGCATATAGTAAGGGCGGGCTTTTGTTTTGTTTTGACTCATGTGTTAAGTCATATAACCATTTCTCTATGGCCTCTGTCCCTTCCCAAAATGTATCTGATTTTAGTCATATGCAGTATACATATCATACACTTGTATAATTATACATAGGCACAAGATGTAAACAGGAGATTCTCCCAAAAAAAGCTTACTAGAGAACACAATTTTGCCTTGCCATGCATACACACACACACACACACACACACACACACACACACACACACACACACACACTGATCAAACCAGATCAGCTTTTCGAGTCTTTGTATCTGGAAATATTCGAATAGAAATTGTTTATTTGATTGTTGTTAGAGGCAAAGAAACTTATGCTATTATCCAGAGAGGGGTATACATGTAGCCTGATACAGGTAGGGTTCGGAGTTGCTAGGTGTATTGAGAGGGGCACGATATGCATAGTACAGAACGTAAGGAACTAGGCTACCAAGACAGTTTTAAGAGTGAAGGGGCATGCAGAACCCAAACCAACTAGGAGTCCATGGAACTAGACTGCCTCCTAAACTTGCCTGCCTTGGGTCTCCTTGAGTCCTGCCCTTCACATCCCCTGAGGCATGTAGCCTTGTGGGTAGAAGCAATCTCACTGCACGTGCTCTCTGAATTCACCCAGCTGCCAAGCAGCCTCCTCCTTGGCTGTTGCCAAGCTGACCTTTGAGTCCAGCTTCCCACAAGCCATTATTTCATAGAAACATCGAATCATCAAATTCTCCAGTGTTTTTGACTTTTTCTTTTCCTCTCTCACTGACCCATTTCTCTTCACTGACCCGTGAAGAAATAACTAAGTAGAGATGGACATACAGGGTCAGAGCCTTTATGCTTTATGATCCAATGCACACTCCGATATATATGCTGGCTATGGGGTTTCTCTGAAGGATTCTAACTCTAGATTTGAGTTCCAAGCCGAATGAAGTCACTCCCCAACACACACACACACACACACACACACACACACACACACACACACACACACACACACAGTTTCCCAGTACGAAGAATTCACTGTATTTACATTTTTTCTAGTTGCTACAGAAATTAGAAACAGTGGCAAAAATAATCCTAAGAAGGGCTCCTTTGTGCCCAGCTGTTCTAAAACAGGATTTTTCATAAGTCTTTACTCTCTGCCCAGAATGAAATCCTGAAGTGCAAAAGTTCACCCCAAGAGATGCCCACTCCTTTTCTTTGGACTTTCCAAGAGGCTCACAAGGCTCCTGTTTTTCGTGGCCCATCTGGCCATAAATTGCAATCCACATTCATTTATGAAAACAAATGACACCAACCTACTCCACGACATTTTGAAATGGGAGAAATAGGCACGGTATTAAAGCAGGAATAAAATGAAAACATTCAGACCCCAGAGCTGCCCTGGCGACAACCCAAACGACACAAGGACTCCGAGTATCCCCAGTTCAATCCATTCTGCTCTTGAGAAGTTACAGAGATGTGGTCACAAAGACATGAAGCGAGGTCTTTGTCATAGTGTGGCAGGAAATTAAACACGTCCAGGATTTCTCTCGGCGTGACGAGAATAGCCGTTCCATCTGCACCCATTTGTGCCAAGGGTGATCAACAGAGCTAGAGAAAAAGGTAGTGGATCATGGAGATTGGGGGGGGGGAGTGTAGCTGATGGCTTAATTAGTTCCCTCCTGGACAGGAATTAATTCATTCCTGGGATTATCGTCTCAGAGTTGAGAGACTCTGTGATTGCAAATAACAGCAAAAAGGGGACGGGGAGTATTAGTTACTTGTTTTGTTGATGGGGGATGAAGTACCTGAAAAAAAAACTTAATAAAGAAAAAGTTGATTTTGGCTCCAAGTTCCTGGGTATAGCCCATCATGATAGGAAAGTCAAGGCAGCCAGAGCTTTAGGTGGCCGGTAGTGTTGCGTCCATTATAATGAAAGATACAACTTACCCTCTGTTAGATTTCTCATTTTTCTTCAGTCCAGGATCCTAGTCCATAGATTGGTACCACCCACGCATAATGTCTCACTTCAATAACCTAATCTAAATAATCCTTCACAGTCAGGCCCAGAAACTTGTTTCCATTGTGATTCGAAATCCCACCAAGTTGTCAGTCAAGATTAAGTCTCTCAGGGTGCTTCACAAACACAAAGATGGAGACATAATTGTAATGCCCTATCGTGGCACCTTCTCTGCCAGCATGAAGCAGACAAGATGCCATCATTATATAATGCCAGTTCAAATAACCTTGGGAAAGACGTGAAGACAGTGGGTTTAACAACATGTCTGTGATCCAAGGCCAGGTAGCTGGGCCTCTCTTGGCCTCTGCTTCTTTGGGGGCTTGGACCTGACACCTCTGGGTGTTTCAGGCATGAATACTAGAAATGAAATATACATGTACACATAAGACTCTCTGGATCTCCGAGAGACAATCAGCATATCTGTAAAATTCACTTGCACTTTAAAAGACTCTATTGAATATAAAATTGTAGATGATGACTGAAAAGGGGCTGTCATCATTACCTTCTAGTTTCTGTCCTACCAAGTCAAAGGACCCAAGAGTCCTAAGACCTATATAAGGATGGAAGGGCAAATCCAACCTATTGATGAAGGATATACCTAACCATTTCTTTTTTTTTTTTTAACGAAGCTGAGGACCGAACCCAGGGCCTTGAGCTTGCTAGGCAAGCGCTCTACCACTGAGCTAAATCCCCAACCCCTAACCATTTCTTAATACCAGAGCATCTAAAAAAATATTGGAGAGTAAGAATTGGATGTTAAAGAATCTGAGGCTTCCTGTTTCACCTGCTCACATCTTCATCTTATGCTGGTTCTTTGATCATCCATCTGCCTCGCTCGCTGCAGCGTAGCTATAGGGAAACAGAGACCTGCCCTGCCTTCAGACACAGTTGGAAAACAGAAAAGATGACCATCCTCCGTCCATGATCTCCAAACCGGGAGATGTGACTCAAAAGAGTTTCCACACAGAGTGTACTGTGAGGTGAAGACACAAGACTATGAGCTGCAATTCCCCCGAGAGAACGTGAAGCCAAGAAGCTAAGAAATGGTACCATGTGTGAACTGTGCACAACACTGAACACTGTCGCTCCACCCACTATTAAATGTGGCTCCGTGAAAGTCAGTTCTTCCCCCTGCTCCAGGGAGCGGCAGGTAAAAGATACAATGGAAGGATTCTGTTCCTTCAGTAGCCGACAGACACATCATGGTACAGAGAAGAGTTCAATTGTCCCATCATCAGGAAGGGTTTCTAACTGGGACAAATGAGGGGAAAAAAACAACCAAAGAAACTTTGGCAAGAACTTTCCTCCAAAAACCAGCACAGCACAATTTGGTTTTGCCTTTAACGAGAGAGATATCCCACACAGGACAGAATTCATTTCTTTCATGACGTATCGATCTGCCTGATCCTATCCAGCCACCTTCTTCGTTGGTGCTGAGGGCCATGAATATTTCCTCTGCTGTAAGGGGCCATGTTCTCCATATGAAGTGAGAGTCTAAGGCCCAGAAGCCGGGTCTTCATCACTGGTGAAAAGCCGAGGCCTGCTCTAGACTTTCCCAAGACTGACTCGAGAGAAACAAGCATGCTGTGAATCATTCAGAATGGAGGGAGGTGATGAAAGGTCCACAGAGCCAAAGTAGAGAGAAGATCCAGGAAAAGATTTCAGAGATAACCAGAACGGTTCCTCAGCCAGGCAGCGTGGGGAGAGGAGGGTAAGGGAGACTCGGCTTCAGCAGATGTTTATTAACTCGCTGTGGAGCTCCAGCCAGCTGTGGCCTACTGAGGAACTTTTTCCATCACAGATCCCTGGCAGTGGAAAAGAATAAAGTTGAAAACGGATGGCACCAGATCGTGGCCATGATTTATCAGTTTAATCTTGTCACCACGAATCAAAGAAACCCACTCAGGAAGGCAATGGCAAAGGCAAAGAAGTGGATTTGATATGAATCAGTGATTTGAGGTCAATCTGGGAAGTTTCGTTGGAATATTAAAAAAAGTAAAACCCAAAAAAGAAAGCAGATCCAGTGGTTTCTCGTGGCAAACGTTCAGGGGGGTAAAAAAACTGAATTTTGGTGAAGGATGGAGCTCAGGGGTAGGACTACATACTTAGCATGTGTGAGGCCCTGGGTCCAATCTCCAGCAACACACGAAACTACTAATTAACCAAGCACAGAGCACTGCATTCTAAGAATGAAAGACTGTAACAGTTTAATCAGGACAGAATCCCAGGACAGCGGTCCTTCCTCAGAGACCGATGGGGCCACTTGTGGAGGTGCTGTGACCCCCACGATTGTGGCTTTTCCAGTCCTTCTGGAAGCAGTGTGCTCAGGAAGACAGACCTCAGGACAGCTTTCCTTTACGTCTACAGATTGCTTCCCTCATGTCCTCGTTTCAGGAACTTTGCACTTTGAACCCTCTGGGGTCTGATCTTTATCTGGATGGTTCCTTTCCATGCTTTTGTTGGTCACTGGACTGTCCCCTTCCGGCAAGTTTTCTTAGGGGGAATCTCATCTCACGGAAAGGCATCTCCTTGAATTTCTGTTTTTCTGTATCTTTACATAATAGCAATACCGACATTATTGAAATCTTGATGTTATCAGATTATGAGCAAAGATCACAAAAAATGGAAAGCAAAAACAAAATAGATAAAAAATGAAGAATTGCTGTGTGACCCTGAGGTCATACTCAGGGGGAGCATATGGCACCCAATGGCTGTGCTATAAAAACAGGGTGGTGCTTTTGAACCCGTCACTCTAGCTTCGTCTCCAAGCAACGTAAAAAGAGAAGAGTGGCCGGGTGGTAGTGGTGCACGCCTTTAATCCCAGCCCTCGGGAGGTAGAGGCAGGCGGATCTCTGTGAGTTCGAGGCCAGCCTGGTCTACAAAGTGAGTTCCAGGAAAGGCGCAAAGCTACACAGAGAAACCCTGTCTCGAAAAAA